TGTGTTCCATGCAACACCCGTAAGTGTACCCATAACGGATTCGTAAGTGACCTACTTAAGTGGGCACTTAAGTGCAGGTTTTATGCAACTGGGCCCAGGAGCTCGGGAGCGTACTAGGAGCAGCGTACTATTGAATTCTCGGGTAAACGAACTGCTCGACACCAAGCCGACTGTGTTTTTTGTTACCTCAAAGTAAAATCAGGACCCCAGGATGATGGGACATTACCGACTCTTGTAGTAATCGCCCTCAGTCCTCTGCGCTTAGGTGAAACTAAGCGACGTCTCAAGGACAGATTTAACGAACACAGACGTGCACTAGACAAAACTAACATTAAATCTAAACCCACTACTGTTTCTGAACACTTTCTCTGTCACTGTAAGCGTTCTCATACTGACATGCAGTTAATCCCACTAGAGAAAATTCATTCTTCACGTGACTCAATTCGTAAGGCCAGGGAGTCGCATTTGATAGATAAGGCCATGACTCTTGAACCTCATGGCCTAAACCGCAGTGACGAATTATTTTTCCTTTCCAGTTTTTATGTTGTAACGTCATTTCCGCCTCTCCCTTTTATTGCGAAATTCTCCATCTATATAATATTGTGATTGCTACATAAGTTCAGTAACATCTGTAAACCTGAAGAAGGCTGGTATGGCCAGCCGAAATATTGTTATAAAAAACAATACACGTTGTTTTAAATCAGCTTTGCAGTAGTCTTTTGACTTCTCGTTCATGCTATTTTAGTAACTTCCGGGTTAGTGACGATCGATTAGAAAACTTATGGGGGGACAAACAAAGTACAAAAAAAATTAGTCGTGCAAGGGAAAATTAAATAAAACAATTTCATGCACGAAAGATGAAAGAAAACCTAAAAAAATTTATGCACTGGCCTAAAAAAATTGATACAAGAGAAATGTTAACAAAAGAAACTCCCCCCAACGCTTTTCTAATGGTACGATTCAAATGTTTTTTTTTTTTTTTTCAATGAAAAACATTGTCACTGTAATTCAATTTGTTTTAAAAGTTTTCTTTAGCTTTTCTTTATCTACCGTAGGGACGGACCATTAGAAAACTTATGGGGAGGGGGGGGAGGAGGCGAAGTACCAAAAAAATATTCGCGCAAGGGAAAATTAAATGAAAAAAAAAATTCATACACGCCAGTTAACCCTTAAAAACATTTATGCTATGGCCTAAAAAAGATCATACAAGGAATTTGATAACGAAAAAAAATACCTGCGGCTCGAAAATTCCCCACCCGCACTTTCTAATGGGCCGGACACGCGTGCAAAACGTCTGCGCATGCATAAAATAATTAAAATTTGCAAAATCTTCCCCATTTAAATTGAAAAACACTTAGGAATGTTTGATATGTTTAATGGTTTGCAGCCGGTTCTAGTATTAAGCACAACAAAAAATTACTTAAACTAACTTGCATCGACTGGCTTTTTTCGTGGTTTGACAGTAAACTCAGGATGACTCGAGAACTGTTTATTATAGCTCGTGCTTTGCAGTGATAACACCACCGTGTGCCCGGGCGATATGCTGTCGTTCGAGAGCCAATCTCGTCAAATATTGGGTAAAATCTGCGAGGAATTGGCTTTGAATCCAGGCGAGAAGGGGTTTTTCTGTCGTGTGTTGGACAGGAGCAGCGCACGTCCTTTCTTCGCAACTCATCCCAATGTCGCCGGCAAACATGGGAGTTTACCGGCAAACCAGCAACACGGTTGAGAGCTTAAGACAGCTGGTAAAGTCGTCCAGTACAAGGTTTTTCCGTCCTTGTTTTTCCACTTAGCATGCATTTGTCGTTTTCGTTGTTCGCATTGACCGAGCTCAGCGACATGATGACCAAAACAGCAACAATGGCTACGGCGAAGTGCTGCCAGAGCGAGCGTGGACTTTCAAACATGATTTTCGCCTTTGGTGCAAGGAGGAAAGTATGTGGTGCAAAAGAGAGAAACTAAAGCAATTAATAAACTTTGCGTTCGTGAAATTCTAAGCTTATCTTTTGTGTGTGGAGCTTGCTTTTTTGAATTTCGCGGCCGAAATCTAGTTTGTTTTGGTATCGCGTATAATTTCGATGGGGGGCTACAGCATGAAAAATCAAATTTACGTGAGCGTAATGACAACGTAAAGTCAGCGTATAGTTGAATTTTACACAACTTTACGCTTCCTTTACTCTACGTAAAGTTCAGCTTTACAGCACCTTTACGCGTACATATAAAGCTGGCGTAATGAAACAAAAACTTTACGCAACACCTTTACGTTTTGCGTAAAGCTTGTGTAAACCCTACTTTAAGCTTGTGTAAAGCGAAAATACAAGCTCCTTTACGCCATATATATATACACATAAACACACTGGAAACTTTAAAGGGAAATATGATGGTAATCGGTAAATTTTTCTTACCAAACTTTTAACAATCAAAATTTTATTTTTGTCCATGTCACACAAACATTGGATTTTTGTTATGTACGTAATACCGGTTATTTTCTTTGGTTCCCCATCATCTCTCCATAGTATTTACAATCTAGAGCCATGGAGGATTACTCATATATACATTACAAATAATTGTATGAGTAATCCTCAATTCAAGTTTCGACACAAAATAAAATACCCTAATATGCAACAACACTTCAACACACAGTTAAAGGATTAGGCCAGAAATTTTGTTTTTATTCTTCAAAACTGACAACAAAAACGAAAAGTTATAAAGCGTTGAGAACCCAATAGACCTATAGAAAAATAAGAACCCAACTTCAAACTGACATTAGTCATCCCTACTATTAAGTTATAACTTGCTTTAATGGAGTTATATTGTTTTACCAGTAGATGAACTTTGAATAAGTAGTAGTTTAAAAAATAGGGCCCCTTTCCGTTTCCAATTTTGCATTACCATAACCAATTTTCAAATTGCCTATCTTTATTTTTACATTTCAAATCCCATGAAAATCGCCAGGTATGCTACATTGTTGTAACTGCAAAGGCTGCAAATACGAATCGCATTCTTTAAGTTTAGTCCCGCAAAGAGTGATATTACAAGATTTTAAAAAACAAAACACACTGATTCTCTAAAACTGAATTTTCTAAATATAACATGATTTATTTCTGTGTTAGCATCTTTGTCATTACATTAAAAATAAAAAAAAAAACGAAAATTTTTCCAACACGTAAGGTTTAAATAAGAAGATACAGTGTACATAAACTTTTCAAATGGGTCAAAACAGTCTTCTCAAAATATCCAAAAAAAATCATCTTAACTTAGTATTATACCAAATTAAGATGATTTATAGTTTGAAATAATTATTAGCATTTACATGTAAGGTACAGGGTGTACAAGAAAACTGATGAAGTTAAATTTTGATAAAAAGCAGCAACTCTAACACGCAAATTAATGTAAAGGTGGGTCAAAATGGTCTCTTCCAAAATGAAAATATTTAGTATAATTTAGCATAATTCAAATTAAAAGCTTAAACAATTTTAGATAAGAAATAAAAAGACTGAAAGCCTAATAAATGTACAACATTGATGGTTTCTTGATTTAGCCCTTTCACTCCCAGAAGTGTTTACAGTCAAACTTAACAACAAAATCCAAATAACAAATCATTTTCATAAACTGATGATGTAAAAGTTAGATGCACAAGGCTGTCACTAAGATTGCAAGTTGCAGGGTTTAAGTGAAATTAGTGAGTGGGACATTGAAAATGTGGAAAATTTCGTTTCCTCTCAAAACAGCCAAGTATTGGGCTCAAAGTAGCCGATTTAAAGTCTGGTTTATGGCCCTTAGTGACAGCCCTGGAACCACTTTACAAGATTAAGGCTTGTAATTAACATGTATTAATCCTGTTTGCTTTGAGAGGACTTTCTGTCACCAACATCCCATACCAGGCTGATCTGCTGAATAAATAGAAAGCAAGTATTATTTGAGTAAACTACACAGATTATTTGTAGGCTAGTGATAATACACTTAATCGCACACTAAAGGCACAAGTACATGTACAGTAAGGGGGTGTTTACATGAGAAAACTCACACCGGCGCGAGTCTCATACCGGGATGACTTTTTGATTTTGTATCGGGTTTACATTATGACTGAGTCATTTCATATCTCGTTATTTGAAGGTGCACTTTATGTTGATAAAATACAAGTGTGATACAAAATAGCAAACATTACACGTGCGCTACCCATTCCAGTCTACCGGCAGACCGATTTCATGCCCAAATAGGTGGTCGTTTCGCATTTACATGATACTGTCTGTGTCATGAGATTTTGTACCAGAGTGAAATTCTCGCCTCGGTACAAGAACCGGGGTGAACTCACGCTGGGGTGACTCGCACCTGCATGACATTTTGTGGTGGTATCATGTAAACAAATATAGAGCTATGAGAGGGAACCGGAGTGAACTCACTCCGGGGCAAAAGTTGCCCCGGTGTCATGTAAACACCCCCTAAGTTGTCAGAGGACACCGCCTGCTATTACTAATTAATAATATTTTTTCCTACACTCATGGCCAAATTACTACAATCAGCACAATTTTACTTGACACAGGGTTCCCCACATGCCTCTTTTCACAAACCAAGACTAAAAATTTGAAAAAAATGATAAGGCATTTTCCACAAGTGGTCTAATAACAGTGCAAAATGAGTAGCAAATGATTTCAATGTCCACAAATTCACACAACTGAATAAGATTCATCTGACTGTTAAAGATTCAAAATGTTTGACTAGTATGAGTTAAAGGATTTCCTTAAAGGCGATAATATTTACATTCAGAACCCTACTTGCAGTTGAGTGAAAATCAGGGTAAAATGCTACATGGAAACCCTATAATAATAATAATAATAATAATAATAATAATAATAATAATAATAATAATAATAGTAATGAACTTTATTAAAGTCTCATGTCTTATAACACAGGCACAGTGCCTTACTAGTTGGGGAGACTGAAGCATATATATATGTTAAATTTATTAACAATGGTTTATTATATTATTAGAGTTCAATGTTTTACAATGTATATCTTTTTTTATTTTAATGTATGCATTTTTATAAAAGTATCATCCATTAATATCGTTGTAAAGTGCTATGAAAAACCACTGGATGTACATTATTATTATTATTAGAGAGTAAGCAGTGCGCAAAGAAAGTAGTGTCCGATAGCCCGGGGCTAGTGGATTTTGCTATCGAGCTAGTGAATTTTGAACTTAACTTGCCCGATGGGCAAGTGAAGTTTTTTTGAGGAATTCAAATTAACGAAGAACTGTGAAATCGATTCTGCTCATCAAAACTGTTTGGGGACTAGTTGAAATGACATTTGGGCTAGTATATGCCAGCTTCAGCTTGCCCGAATGGCAAGCTTTAAAAATCACCTTCTTTGCACCCTGGTAAGAGAGAAATTTTCCTATCCACTTGTCCTTCACACAAGTAATACATTAAATTTGGTTGTCTGAAACCTAGAGTTCTTGTCCAAAAAGTTTAGCTTGCAACGGGCATTTAATGTTTTTAATCACATTATTTAATCACATTATTACCCTTGTATATTGTTTTTGAATTAAACCTACAACAGAGCTTGTAAAAAAGCAAATGGATGAAACGACTGGCAGTGGAATGGCAAAGTTAAATGGAATATTGTTTCTTATCTTTATTTTTCTAATTAAAAATGTGCTTGTCCCACGGACAAGTCATATCAAAGGTTTACATGTTCGAACTAAATTTCTACCTGTCCCGGACTAAAGTTCCAAATCAATAAACATCCCTAGCCTTCTCATGAGCTCCACCAAAGACTTTCAGGGAAAATATAGAAACATATAAGCACCTTATTCCCAAAAGTTTCAAATTTTCCTGAAACTTTACCTAATATATTTTTTTCCTTTTTAATACGAAACGTTCAAGGTTCCTAGTTAATGTAACAGGAGTGAAGCCACTTTGCTATTTAAAGCCCTTATCCTCAATCTTGAAAACAATGCCTCCTAATAATAATGTACAGTGTACCCAGTAAATAAAGCAGCCTATTTTCTTTCCTTGCCACCAGGGACATTTCACAAGAGAGACAGTTGTATTTGCAGATTAATAATGGTGTATGTAGACAAGAGAATCCAAAACAGCTATGACTGCTATGACTCTGTTAACAGTCTTATCTTTCACAACTTGTTTCTTTAAATTTTATTTTCGTTTAAACCTAGATTTACTGACGATACAACTATGGTGCAAATAGAACAATTTCTGGTTTCTGGTTTCATGACTGTGTGCTTTGCTTCCCAAAAAGTAAGGCATTCAATTTCCTGACAGTATGTGCTGCACTATATCCTCTCAAGAACCACAATAAAATTTCATAGGAGCAGTGCCCAATGAAGATTAAAATTAATGGTAATATATGAAATGAATCATACTTTGAACTGCAGATGAAGGTACGAAACTGTGAAGATGTTAACAACTATGTTGGCACTTACATGAAAATACATTCTAATTCAACCATGGTCTGCATTAGCTATACATTGAAAGACTCATGAAAATGTCTATTCATTCTCTGTTCATTTAAGTTAAAACCCACGTAATTTAAAATCAAAAATAAACTTTTGTATCTGCTTCAAAAAATACATGCATGCTGTTAAATTATTCACCACTTATGACGCTATGACTGCCCGGGGAATTGGGAAGCTTGGGTTTGTTATTGACTGACGCATGAAAGTATAGAACCAGACTACGTAGATTATCTTTGCCTACTTGCAAATTCAACACTTGTTAACACTTTTCTATTCTGTTTATTAGTTCTTCTATAGTCTGTGAAAATTTTCATAAGAATGTTTGTATCACATTACATGTAAGCTTACTTTATACAGATGTCCTTTCTTAATTCCATTATTTTCTTTTAGTAATTCCCAGTACCAGTGACCAAACTCCTATTTTCCAGTACAAAACAAGGAAATTCTACTCCTTCACACCCCCAAAGTCCTTACATGATTTTACATTATCATCTTCAACGTCATGGTCTCGTTGCTTGCTTAGTATTGAAAGGTTATGCCAAATAAATACACATGTTTAGTTATAATTTACTTTAAACGGTTAATGCTGGTTTCATTGCTCACTGAAATGTTAGTTACTGAGTACTTGAGACAGTCATTCGAACTCGTCATAAACAAGTTGGAATTAAGCTTAAAAAGTTAGAGAAAAGGCGAGCCAGGACAACTTACCTTGCCTTACTATCTGCTCTTTTCAGCGAGATCTTGAGTATCGAAGAGCCTTAGTAATACGTGTAATACAGTCTTGGTCTGTGTTGTGAACATTCCAGTGTTAATGCTTGTGCTTCATCACACGATGTTTCTGTCTCCATTTCTGACTGAGTATCTCGTCCCGAAAGGGTTGCTGCACACTTGAGAAGTGATCGATTACTAAAGGCTGATAGTGCCATTATAAATTGCAACAACCTTAAGATGTCCTGTGATGCTATCAAGAAGCATAATATACGAACGATCTCCAACCTTTCAAAGAAGCAAGTTTGAAACCG